TGCTGTAATGCTCCTGGGCTCCGCTATGAATTTGCACATGGTCTCCTGCCAACTTTTGTCTTAAGAACCCACTCCCAAATCCTCTCTGCGTTATGTTCCTTAGAGCACTGCTTTGCATAAGCGTCTATTTCTTGGAAAAGCTCAAGAAAGGGAAAATAGAACAAAAGGGGCTCTGACAGCTTCAGCATAAGCTGTCTGAGTGTAACTGGCAGGGTATGGGGGAGACGAAAGAGTGGGGCTGGTGGGAGGGACACACACCTTTCGGATGAGGCTAGATTTGCAGGCTTCTCAGTGATGGGCTAAAATCGCATGTGAAGATGGCCCAGGGCCTGACAGATCTGGGAAGAGCTTTGTGAATGAAGGGATGAGGCTCAGTGCTTTTTCAGCCTTGCCCCTCACGCCTGTCTGTCTTAGTAAAAACTCCCATGGTTTGCCTGGTCTCTGGGAGCGTTGTTTCCTTCCTTTTCTAGAGGAGGCTGGAGGGATCCCCTATTAGTAACCTCACCTGCTTACACTTTGGATGGTACACTGCTGGAGTCAAGGGGCTCCAGGATGAAAGCTTTGATTAATCTGGGAAAGTTTTTCACTTGCTTCCTCAGGTCCCTTTGGGTTTCTAGTTTGCAGGTAATTGCTTGCACAAAAAGCATGTAGAGCATTTAGCTGTACCATTTTAACTGTGTGTGTGTGTGAGTGTGTGTTTTGACCTTGTGCTAAACTTTCCAAGTACTGTGAAATGGGTTAGTCGCACTGCAGTAAAATTTGGGGCTTGGATCTCTTCTCACAGGGGTGGGCTGGTGACAAGAGGTCACCTGTTTAGGAATGTCTGAGGTGTGGTGCCTGGGTGGTACCTGAGTTTACAGTGTTGTGCCCACAAGTGACCAGTAGATGGTGCTCTAATAACAGGAAAATATGGCCACCGTCCCTCCTGGGCTGGAAAGGGACTTGTGGAAACCGGTTTCCAATCAGTTATGACCAGTTGCTGATTTTCTACATTTCAGTCTGAGGTTCTTTGAGAGGACAGTGGAACTAGGGACACTGAGAGCAGAATACCCACCAACTTCTCTTATGAAGTGCACTATGGCAATGACCCAATCTCAGGTTTTTTCTAAGGGTCTTCCTGGATCTTGAGTAGACCAAATACTCCTGGGACTCAGCATGGGATCATATAGTTTCTTCTCTTGACAATGAACAGTTTGAAATTATTACTGCCCAGAAGAGATTAGCTTGGGTATTAGAAACAGCCATAAAGTAGAAGTCAGAAGATCTGTTAAAAGTCCAAAATCTGCGTCTTACCAGATATGGACCAACTACTTGGCATTTCTGAAATGTTGCTGATTTGTCCACCAACTCAGGGTCATAATACATATGTTGCCAGGCTGACCTCAGAGGTTTGGAGTGAGGTTTGTGTAAACTGAAACTGTTAAACACACATAAGATACTGTTCAGCCATTAAAATTGTAGCCCTCTGGGGGCTGGATGAATGGGGGGCATTGGAGAGCGTGAACGTTCATAGATCTCAAAGGTCTCAAGAGTTGTGACAGCCAGGTGGGGGTTGGAATATGAGCGTGTGCCTTGTTTCCTTCGTCCAAGTCCATTCCCAAAGTCATTTATGCCATCACATTTGCTTCTGTCCTCTTGGGCTGCAAGAATTCCCATTTGTAACTCCTTACAGAGGTGCTCATATTCCCTAAGTGTCTTCACTATTATCTCCCAACTCATGCATTTGTGAGTCCTGTCTCCTCAGAAGGCAGGAAGGCAAGTCTCAACTCCAGTGAGTCTTCACATTTCTTGTATAATTCCCTGTCTTGGGGATTCAAGGTCTCTCAAAAATTATAGCAGCCAAAGAGAACATAGGACTTTGTAGAGAGAGGAGAGGAATGAATGTTGGACCTCTGCTGAGTGGGTGACATTGAAGACACAAGTCAAGGGTTCCTGATTTTCTAAGAACCTCTTCTGGGAGGAGAAAGTCTGACGAACCCTGCTTCCTCTGAGTATTAACAAACAGGGCTTGCCACCCTCCGGCCTGCTAAGACCAGGACACAAAGGGACAGGGTGAAGTTGCAGAATAAGAATGAGGCCCATCAAACATTGTAGCCAGGTAGGTTAAAGAATCTAATTGAATCCAAGAAGAGGAAGCGTCATTTTTGTCGTCGTCTGTTTTGTTCATTATTGTATCCTCAGTGATTAAAAAAGTGCCTGGCGCTCCAAAATATTTGTCGAATGATTTGAATGAATTTTGTGCTATGGATTATGGTCCTGCCTGAAAGCATGGATTTGGTCACTTCTGAAATCCCATTCTAATCCTGTATAGCTTATTGAGTTACTTACCCAGACAGCCACTTGTGACAGGTTCTCAGGGACCAACAGGCTGATGGGACTTCATAGTTCACAGCAGCACCTTCCTTTTCACTTCTGACTAGTATTCAGACAGAAGAGGGCTCTCCAATTAAGGTAGGTAGAAGGACAGAGTAAGGCAGTAATGTGAAATCGAAATAGTAATTAGAGCTGACTCACCTTGAATGGTAATTTGGCCTGAAATAGGCTTCCTTAAATCAAAAGGTCAACATGCCTTCCCCAAGGGAGAGGTGCCTGCTGGGGTGGACATGTTGAGACCATTCCTTTGGTTTTCCAGAACCCAGAGAATTTCCCTGCGCACTTGCACGTACATTCTCAAACAGTAGACCCTTGCCACTGCTCACGTGGCTTGCCCACACACAGGCACATACACATAGGAACACACGTGCCTCCCTCCGCCAGACGCACCTCGCTTCTCACCAGTTGATCTCACACACAGACATGGCGAAGCCACACTCACCCAGGAGTTCCAAGAGAGAAAGGAGGGAGAAAACCCCTTCTCTTCCATTGCTCAGGTGGGGAGAACTTGGATGGAACTGTGCTGAGGCCAAGGCAGGAAAAACAGCAAGGTGTGGTGCAGCTAGTGTCGACATGGACAGGGGCGTCTGGTACCTGTCCTCAATCCAAACCACTGAGTCACCTGTGGGGAAGGGCTTGGTTGCTAAACTTAGAGACTCTTTGCGGCTTGGAGTCCACTTTACCCACGTCTGCTGCTCCGTCACTAATTCTGACTTTTTCTTCATGAATGGGATGGGCTTGAGGAAGTCCGTGGACCTCCCCTGGGGGTAAAAAATAGGGGTGGGAGGATCCCCCTGATGGTTAAAATTTTAAGATGGGTAGTTTCAGCCCAGAACTCACCATCTAGGGCCTGAAAATCTGGACCACCCATACAGGAATGGATGCGCAGAGTTCTGCTAGAGCCAAGCCCAAGAGGCCGCCTCAGATCGCTCGGTTTGGAGAGGGCGGGCGAAAGCTCCCGCCAGGAGCTGGCACCAACACGGGAGTGCAGGGCCCCCCAGGGATCCTAGCGTTCTCCCTGGGCCTCTGGGCTGCTATAGGGAGAGGGAGCTCGGCAGAACTCCCTGGGCAGCGTCGCTGCAGCCTGGGAGGTGCGGAGGAGTAGGGACTTGGCGCTGGTGCGCAGCGCGCAAGGCGCAAAGGCTTGGATTCCCTGCTAGGGCGGCGGGCGGGGCACCGCTCCGGCACCGCACTGGCATCGCCCCTCCACGGGGACAGAAAGCGCGAGTGCGTGCGCGCGTGCGTATGCGCCCCCGCCGCCAGGCCTCAGCTTCTGCGGAGAGTCCGCCGCGCCGCCAGCTGCACCCGCCCCTCTCTTCACGGCCTTACTTGGGGGAAAGGGCGGCTCTAAACTGGACCTTTGCAGAGGTGGCCCCCTAACCCTCTGGGTCAATCAGTCCATCAGCCAAACCAACCGTGCATCCCAGGAACCTCCGGACGGGGCGGTTGGCCGGGGTCCTTCAGGCTCCATCCTCACCCCTCCCCACCTCGCCGGCCCCGCCCCCGCTTCCTTGGGCACCGCGCCGCACCTCTGCGCTCTGCTTGCTCTCCCCTTCCCCTCCTGCTCCCCCCCTCTCCCCCCTCCCCTCTTCGGTGTAGTCTCGGGATGTCGGAGTGGAAGAGGAAAACGGAGTCGTTAGTGAGCAAGTTCGGTCCTTGGACAGCTCCGGCGGCAGGCCACCGCTAGGCTCGGGTGCAACCTGTTCCTCCCTCATCCAAGTGCTCGCCCGCCCGCGCCGCTCCCACCCTCTCCCGCCCTCTCCCCGGCGCAGCCGCGGATCGCTGTTGCATGCTGATCGGGGAGGCGGCCGCGGCGGCGGCCAGCGCTCCAGGCGGATGCTGGCACTTGGGCTTCGCTGCTCTCTGGATACCGCTCAACGTCTCTGCCAGACGCAGGAGCTTTGAAGTCATTTGTCTCTCTCCGGTTGGATCGACTTATTTTGATATTTGGGGCGTTGCGGTTTACGCAGGAACCTCTATACTGCTCTCCCCTCTCCCTCCCGCTCGCACAACCTTTGGATGCGTCTCTACTGGCAGATTTAAAGACCCAAGTCTTGGCTGTGGAATTTCTTGGATGGACTTTGCAGGGGCTGGTGTTCTAAAGCATGCCACCATAGCCCCGTCCTTGTCTTCTTCTTATTTTTTTGTTAAAGTTCTTTTGTTTTCACCCCCCACCCCCAACCAATAAATCACCAAACTGTTACCTAGCGGGTCGGTGCCTGCCTCTCTCCCTGGACTAGGTGGTGCGTCTGCCAGAAGAGGAGCTATGTTTGAAGAGCAGCCTACTCCGGCCCTCTCCTCGCCAGTCCCCGAACGCCACCGCACACTGGCATTTTGAAAAAAAAAAATTGCCTCCAGAAACTGAGCACCCCCTAGCCCTCTTCTCCCCGCTTTTTTCCTCCTTGAGGCTTGGAGCTTCGCAGAGGTTGTGTTTAGATTCAACAGTTCAGAGCGGCGGGGTCCCTGCTGCCGCCTCTCCGAAGAGCTCGCCAGGCTCCCCGGAGGCGGTGGTCCCCGCGCCGGGCTGGATGCGGCGCTGAGTCTCCGTGTGTCTTTCTGCTTGTTGCTGTGCGCGGGCGTTCGGCCGCGATCACCTTTTGTGTGTCTTCTGTCTGTTTAAACTTCAGGATGGCTCGCTTCGGGGAGGCGGTGGTCGGCAGGCCGGGGTCGGGTGACGGAGACTCGGACCAGAGCAGGAACCGGCAAGGAACCCCGGTGCCGGCCTCTGGACCGGCGGCCGCCTACAAGCAGTCGAAAGCGCAGAGGGCGCGGACTATGGCTTTGTACAACCCCATTCCCGTCCGGCAGAACTGTTTCACCGTCAACAGATCCCTGTTCATCTTCGGAGAAGATAACATTGTCAGGAAATACGCCAAGAAGCTCATCGATTGGCCATATCCTTTCTTGCCCACCATAACGCCCCTGTCCCTCTTTGCATTTCTTCGGGTGAGGGGGGAAACCTAGCATGAAATGTATCCCCTACTCTCTTCCTGGTGCCAATTTCCCCCTTTGCTGAAGTGCACGCTTTACTTTGGTGCATATAAGGGGCAAGCTTGGTGCTCTAGAAACCAGTGTGAGCACTAGTGGTTATCAAGGTAAGACTTTTGGTTTTTGATTTTTCCTATGTGGAAGCCTCTAGCATCCCTGGGTGCTTGGTGCTGTGGTTTTGTCTGATTCCCAGGCCCCCGGTTCCCGTCACATTGAATAGGTTGCTCCTAACCTCAGGGCTTTCTTTCATATTCAGTCCCCCTTTTTCCTCCCTCAGAGCCACCCCCTCATTCCCCCCCCCCAGCTGGGGAGACAACTGCACTCTCTGCCTGTAGGGGAAGTCCAGGCTCCATGACGGGATTTGTCAGTTCAGAAGCTTCAAGAGTTCTGGGCCCAAACCCTGTGGACAAATTTACAAATAGATAAATAAAAAAGGCGTTTGGCTGGGGACTCAGCTAACTCTGGGGACTGAGTTGAAGTTCCACTGAAAGTGGAGTGAATGAGTGTGTCAGGGGAGGCAGTCTCTAATGACACAGCCCAAGCAGCCCAGCTGGAGTTCTCCTGACAGCCCAGGAAGAGCACCTCATCAGGGCTCCTCCTTTCCTTAATCCTGGGTTGGGTGCCCCTGCGTCTTAATGCGTGGCCCCACTGAGTGCTCTCTCAGCACCCAGGATCCAGGCTGATCTGCCGGGCCTAAATTCATCAGCTGAAGGCTGCTCAGCTGAGTCCAGAGGTGTGCCAGCGATCTGCCTGTCCCTAGCTCCCAAGGAACTGCCCTCCACATAGAGCTGGTGGTGTGTCTCTGATGGTGGCAGTGTCAGAGTGAACAGGCATAGAAGGAGCTTCTTTGCAGGTTTAAGCAAATGCACCAAATGTAGGCTGTTTAGGCATCTCACTGCCTCATTCTTCACTAGGAATTAGGGTGTCTGGCAAGATCTTTAGGAATTGGGGGTTGCTGGGGTGGTGAGGATGATTAGTGGTAAATATGGGGGAAGCCTTGGAGACATGGGACTTTGACGCTTGTGGAGAGACATTTCTTGGGATGGATGCACCTGCAAAGGAGGCCCCACCTCTTCTTCTCTTTCCTCCCTCCTCCCCACCCCCACCCTCCAGGTGTGCAGCACGGAGGCAGCTCGAGCCAGACTCAGTCCCTAATATCAGTGAGATGTGCCGCTGGCACCCCTCATGGCCTGGGCATCTCCCTGCTACCCCCACCCTGGTCCTTCCCCCCTTCCTCTCTAGTTCCCTGTCTCAGCAGCACCGCGATTGGCTGGCGCGTAGTGCTTCCAGGCAGCACCCCTCATTAGAAACGAAGGAGCATTTCTAAGCAGATCTTCTTGCTGCTGCTGCTGCTGCTGCTGCACGCATCCCCCCACAGCCACCCCTGTCTGTCTGGGCTTCCTCTCTCCTCCGCCCTGCACTCCCCTCCCCTCCACCCCTCCCGAGAGATGGGGCTCTATGGTCCCTTAGTTGAACGTGCCTAGGGTGGGGGGTACTGGGGAGGGGAAGGGCTCAGTCCGGCAGGCCAGACTGCCGGAGCGCTGCACAAAGCGGACAGATCTCATTGTGTTGCGTGCTGCGGCTGCAAACACTCCTCTAAGCAGGTCTCTGCTGATTTCCCCAGCAGGGCCCCCCCTCTCCAGCCCGCCTTCTACACTAAAATTTCTCACCCAGCAGGTGCTGCTTTCCTGTGCCCCTCTTTTAGGGGCGTGTTTACTCAGGCGTCCTCCCTTTCCTTGCAGTAGACAAAGCCCCGCGGGTGGCAAAGTGCCCGCAGCCATCGTTGGTGCCCTGGACGCGCTACCAAAACTCCCCAGGCGACCAGGGCTCCGCGTCCACCCGGGTTCAGCACCTCGGGCACTTCCGTCTGGGCCTAGGCTCCGGGGCTGGGATCTCGAGCATGTTTCCCACACCACGCGGTGGCTACTGTTCAGGATTTTCTCTTCTGCTGGAAAGACACCGCCTTTCTGCCAGACGTAGGGAGCGCAAAGTGCACTGTGGGTTTTACTCCGCCCTTTCCATGCCTCTGGCCAGGATAGGCTAAAGAGTCAAAAAAGAGTCAAAGGGAGGCCAGGGAGTTGATTTCAGTATTATTCTCAGTGCCTTGGCGGTGAGCCCATCCCAATGGTCTCTTCTATCCCCAGAGTTGGGAATTTTCGCAGTGGCTCTACAGCGTGTAGGCGGTTGTAACAGTGTTTGGAGAACATCTGCTAAGGTGTGTAGAGGAGGCCTGTTGGCAAATATAAAATACACCATGTTTGCTTTTTTCTCCTGGCTGTACAACATCACTGACTAGTATACATTCCCTCTGGTGGCGACCGTGTGGAAAAATTGTGCTGCTGTGGGTTCTGTGTTTTCTCCAATACCACGTGCATCTAAAGTTCCAACTCTCATTTCTCTTTCTAAACATCCAGCTTCCTGAAATAGCGTGTGCTTGTTACCTACTGGGAGTCAGTGTGAGCTGACCTTATCAGGGAAGCGTTAGCCCTAGGCTGTCTGGGTTCCTTTTCCAGTTCCTTCACCAGTTCTGTGGCCTTGATCAGTTACTTCTATTACTCTGCGACTCAGTTTCCTTATTGGTAAAAGGAAGCAAATAATAATGAGCTACTGGGAGAATTAAACGAGTTCATATGTATCAAGTTCCTAGAACATTGCCTCATCACCTGGTAAACACTAGCTATTAGTAGTAGTGGAGTCCTTCAGAAATTTCAGTATACCTGAAAGGGAGGGGCCTGAGTTCTGGCTCAGCTGAGTCTTCTGTTGGGTTGTCGGAAATTTCATGACGCATTTTTGCAGCGAAAAACATAGGAAAAAAATACGTCATGACTTTTCCGACAGCCCCAATATATTTTTGCCTCTCAGAGATTGCGAGGGACAGCCTTCTCATCCCTCCAGGGACCTTGTTAAAATTTCAGCCTCCCAAAGCCCCACTTCACACTTACCAAGCTGGAATCTGCATTTTAATAACATCCCCAGGTGATGTGTATGCACGTTAAAGTTTGTGAAGTGCTTCCTTACCCCTTGTTAGAGGCACAGTTTTGAAAAAGGAAGAATGTTCAGAAAACATGTCAAGACCTGCTTCGAACGGGCACAGGCACATGCCGTGTGCCTGAGGTTCTTGATCATTTGTGCTCGACGGATTCGGGGATTTTTACCTTTTTTATTGGCTGCAGAAAAGTCACTGGACTAGGAAAGGTAGCGTGTACCTCCGTAAACGGTGATGGTGTCTTAACACTGCGTAATACTGGTCTTGAGTCAGATTGGGCTGAAAAGATCAGTTAAATAAAAGGAACGATTTAATTTATACTTGCAGGACTCTGACTTGAGGGGGCCAGTGGTAATTTTATTCCGTTATTAATAGGGAAGGTCTAGTTCTTAGGGGAAGGAAGGCCTAAAATAACCCAGACTTGTCATGAAAGATGGTGGCACCTCAACTGCCCACTCGTTCATTTGTCTTGAGGGCTACCTCGGCATAGGCAGATAATTTTATTGTCTTACGGTGCGCTCTTCTGCAGGGGATACCATAACCTTTTGGAAAAAAGCTAATCTGATTTCAATCGTGGTATTACATTTTATATGATTCTTCCTTTTCTTTCTTGCTCATTTAATAGATCTAACGAGAGAGTTGTCATTTTTCTCAGGGAATTGGCTGCTCTGAATGTCATCCCACATTCCCTGTGCCATATGCTTTCCAGCCCCAACCCTTCTGTGCCCAGGCCTGGTGACCCTGTGGACATACAGGGTCTCCCTCATGGTTTGTGAGATGCCCCACACTTGCTTGCCCTCTCCCAGGTGAGAGAATGGAGTGAAGACGTGGAATGTCTGACTTGGAGACTCTGTGCCCCTGATGGGCAGGGGGAGATTGGTTCCCCCCACTGATGGCGTGGGTCATCTCCTCAGGGGAGCACATGTTTCATGTGGCAGCGAACATGGTTTAAAATAGGAAGATCAAATGCATTGGCAGCCACTGCAATGATGAAGCTCATTACAGGGAACCTGTGGATATTCATCTGCTTTTCTCCTGCTTTGGTTGCCTGTAAATATACGGCACCTTGCGGGAGAGGCAACTGTAATCCTGGCAAAACTTCAGATTTGATGTAACTGTAATGGATCATGAGTCACAGTGCCTTGGTTAGGGCAGAGAGTGGCAGCTAACCAGGATGAAGCCTGTGATTACACCCTATGAGCAGGCCATGCAGAAAGACCTCACATCTGCTGTGGACCTGGGCACGGATGCAGACAGTAAAACAGAAACAGATAGCTACTGTACCTGGCACAGGCTGCAGGATACAGGTGTTCATATTCCTGAGGGTCCCAGGACAGGCTCCAAATGGCCTGTTGGCTCTGCCCTTGAAACGAGGTGCGGTTAATGTTTCCTCCGGAATGGGCCATGTCCCATTGTGGGGACCAGTTGTCATTAGGATGCCACCTGGAAAGCGACGCGGAGTGAAAGAGTTGGACAGAAATGAATGACTGGAGGATGATGGCAAAAATATCTTGGAGGTGATAGTTTTGTCTGTGGGTTTGCATGTCATGATCGCCCTACTTGCGTTCCCTACAGTGGGGGCAGAGCACGCTATGAATTAAAGGAGGAGGAACATGATGAGAAAGCCCTGCCTTTTATCTTCTGAAAGAGCCAGACTCTAGAATTATTAGCTCCACCCACAAGTGCTTAATCTCTTTTTAGCTGTCACTGTGCAAAATGTAGGTATTCCCTCCTTTATAGGAACAGCTGGTTTCTTTCCATCTTCCTATTCTTCGCTAAAATAAAACTGACTCAAGATCTGCAAAGCTATCAGAAGTCTCGCAGGCCCTTGGACCCCGTGTTGCACCAGCAGATCTGTAACTTCCCTTTTGTCAGTCGCAGGGCTGCCTGGGAAATGCAGCTCTCCAGCCAAAGCCCAGC